CATCGAGAGCCTGGAAGATGTTGTTGAACGGCTCATGAACAAATTGAAACATGTTGTTCCATTCCTGAACGGTTTGCCTTCTGATCTCCTCGTCATGTTCGTCTTCTTGTCCATCCCAGTGGTTGATTTCAGCCGCCCGCTCAAAAAGATCCATAACCGAGCCGAGACCCAAGATTGGCAGCATGATCGCCCTCAGGTTCTTGAACATGCCCTCGAGGTCGTCTGGCGTTAATTTTCCATATGCGATCTCGCGCTTTGCAAACGGTAAGTCCGCAGTAAGCTTGCCGTGCAACGCCTGCAGTGAACCAGTCATCTTCTTGATAGCCGCTACTTCCGGCCTGGGTTTCGCCTTCTTCTTCCCATCTCCGTCCTCTGGCACGTACTTCTCGCCGAACATGTCGCTTGTTTCCAGGCTGTGGATGTAGTTCTTGTGCGCGCCCAGAGTCCCTCGCAACAAGCCAATGTATCCTGCTGCTTCCTTCATCACCACCTTGCGCGATGTAACAGGGAAGATGAATAGGGCCACTCCGGTTGCGATCGCGAAACCAGTCAAGAATGCCACTAGCAGTCTTCTGATGAAGGACTCGCATTGCGGTACTGTTTGAAACAAGAAGCCATTAGTCGCTGCAACATTGACCTGAATTGCGTAAATGATTGCCGGAAAAGCCAGTTGGGGAAACTTCGCCTTCATAGCATTGATAACATAGATTTGGAAGAAAAGCCACACTCCAAGGACTGCCGACTGCGAAGAGTTGTAACGTTGTGGTGGTGCTCCAGGTACAGTCGTATGTTGTCGGGCTTTGACTCCCGACCAAACCATGAGCATAGCGAGAGCCGAACCAACACACGTCGCCAATATGTTCATCGTCATCGTCTGAATGAACTTTGCGCGCGGCATGATGCAGAACCCTAGGATACTGATAATAGCAGTCAGGTAGCCCAACGTAGTGAAGTATTGCGCAACGGGCGTCGCCTGATACATCGCAAGGCAAATTGTCGGAGGCAGTGCCGCCTTGCCCATCATCATGAGCGTGCCCGGATCGAGACCGAGTTTAGTCCACGCTGCTTTGAGTTTTGACAGCTTCTTCTCTTTCTTCTCTCCATCTGCTCTGTCCTCCGTGAGTGTCGCATCTTGGTGGTAATCGTCCGACTGCCCCTGCTCGCCGCGTGGTGATTCCCCTGCTGTGTTCGTGGAATCCACCTCTTCCTTATCCGCAACATTCCGGCCCGTCGCGGTAGACGCCATTGTGGCGCTGTGAGTTCAATCGACTACCCAGGTAGATGAGCAGGTAGCGAGAGATGAATCCAGCAACAGTTAAGACATTATTGAGAGTCCTTCAAGGCTAGATCGCCCAACGAATCCCCATAGGGGCCACCGATCCTCCGCACCCGAGAGTCGCGCCGCGTTCGGCATTTTTCACGCGCGCGGTCGACGTCATGGTCCGTGATGTGAGTGGCCAAGCCGCGCGCTAAGACAGATCTAAAGGTTAGTCACAGGGACTTCCCAGCCATTCGGGCCTTCGGTCTGGGTTATCATCCGCTTGTAATTGCAATGTCGCAATGTCGCAAAGTCGGCATACGGCATGGGCACGCGAAGGTTCATCAGATTCGTCCGGGCTATCTGTATTGGTAACGCCGAAAAGAAGATGCTTGGTAGTTCGTACGATCTGTGGTATATGCTGCTATATACAAACTTCAAAAGCAATGCCCTATACAACAATGCGCTCGAAGCTGTACTTCGGCACGCGTTTGCTGATCAGCATACCCATCTCTCTTTTGCTTCGCGGCTCCTTCTTTCCTCCCTTGCCGCTCTTCATCTTCTCCACGCCCTGGTCTGCCTTGGCTCCAAGCGGCAGCATAGGCAAATCTTCCTCTCCACTAAGCTTGCTCGCGACACCGAATGGTTTGCCTTGTACCTCCAAAGTCTTGTTAGAGGGCTTCTTCGATGTCGGTACAGTGGAAGCGTAGCGTAGGAACTCTGAAAGTAGACCACGTATGAAGTGAGCTTCGAAGAAACCACTCAGTGCTACAGATGCATCCCGGTTCAACGATTTGAGCATGTCTTCTCCGGTTTCTGAGGCGGAGACTGTGCCGACAGAAGCCAACCAAGCTCCTGCGCCAATGGCGTCGAGAGTGGTAGAGAGAAGAGAAGCAATGATGGCGACTGCATGGTCGTCAGGGTCATCGCCTGAGTTCTCAGCATGAGGCAACTCTGTCTCTACAAAGCCCAGTGGCGAAGACCACCCACCGTTCTTCAACTCCAGATGCAAAAGGCGAATCAGCGATTCGAGGTCTCGCCGCGGCAACATTGAGCGAAGAGTTGCACTGACTATTGGTGCTGAGAAGGTATGGAGCCGAATCAGAGCGGGTCGCAGTGTGTGGCTGCGCGTCAACAGACCATGGTCAAGCACTGACAAGGCATGATCGATTTCGTGCGAGGCTGCTTCGAGCTCGGTAGCAAAGTCCAGGTCCATGTCGTCGTCTGATGGATTGGTGCCATTCGTCAAAAGCTTTGTTGCTTCATTATCCTTTGGCTCGTCATCTATACTTTGGATAAGAAGCTTGATAGCTTGAACGACCTCGCCCACTGGGAGGAACTGAGTGTGATTGAGTACTGCCGAGAGGATGTGCAGATCGGGATCGTATTCGACCAAAGCCTTGACGATATCCCCATCCACGATAGCGGAAGCTGACTGCATTTGCTCGTTTGTTCCATCAAAGAGGGATCTGCGGATGGACTCCTTGGTAAGATGTCCAATCTGTAGGAGCCACTGGAAAACGTTGGGTGGGAAGAAGCCGACCCTCAACTGTCCCTGTGATTCCTCTTCGGTGGCATCTACCAGATAGAAAATCTTACTCAATGCGTATAGTGCATACTGACGGTATTGCTGTCGTTGGTGGCCAGGAATGGTTTTGGGAATTGTCCATCTGGGCAGGTCGTCCTTGGAAGTTTCATCGTCGAGTTTGTCAACGACCATGGCATCATCGTCAGGAAGACTTGGACCCCCTCCGTTCGTCAAGGGTCCGCCATCTATCTCATTCTCGTGCTTCTGAGCTGCATCGGCAGACTCAACTTCGATGCCCAGGTCTGTCGCAAAGGATCGCTCGAATTTTGCAATCTTGCCCCTTGTGGCGTACTTGTTGAGCTTCCATTTTCGCTCCTGCCATTTCTGAGCGTCGCCTGTGCTGAGAGTCGATTCTGGTGCGATTCCCTTGCCAAGAGCGTCGATAAGAAGAGTACCTTCGGTCTTGGTCCGTTTGCGCGATCCTGCTCCACCAAACTGCATACCAAATATCTCGTCCTCTCGAGCAGCAACAATCAGTCCGGTGTCGGCGTAGTACGCCACGAGGCTGCATGGTGAAACCTTCTGCTCGTCGCTCTCGGGCTGCGTATGCTTCCTCTTCTTCGATGGGCTAAGAGACTCGGATGTGGACGGACTAGGGTTCATGGATTGCACAGCTTGCAAAGAGTTGTACTTGACATCGAACACTCGGCATGTATTTTGCGACGTGGTGAAGATGACATCTTGTGAAGTTCTGAGGAAAGAGTCGACAGCCGACCCGGGAAGCGCAAATTCCGACTGGAGCTTTGGTACAGTTCCAGACAAGTCGTAAGATAGCAGGTTCCCGCCTGCGAAGATGTGAAGGGCACCACTGGAAGGGTATAGAGCGATCTGAGATGTAGGAGCCCGTGCGGTTGAGGCCTTTGATTGCGGTAGGTCCAACGATACTAGGTGTTTCAGCGGCGAGAGCTGGTCCGTAGTAAGATCGACGGATCTTGGCTGTACTTGAACAAGGGTGAGTGTCCTCGTTTTTTCTGCTTTACGTTCGACGATGCAGAGAACCTGAACAAGGTCGAGAAGATCCGAGGTTTCGTCTGGAGTGGGATCCAAGATGGTAGCGATGTCTTGTCGGCTGCGCAGGAGCCCTCGTATAACCGACCTGGCACTGGCGAGGGTAACGTGCTCGATATCCACGTCGGTGCCTCTGGACGGTAGGAGGACCTTCAAGTTTACGGCCCACTTGACATCCTGGAGATCGGCTGACAGAGACATGACATCTCCGTTGTCGAAAGTCGCCAGTATATCGTGCGTCGCATCATTAGCTGAGCCGCCAGGTGCGACAGGGAGCGATTCAAGTGTCGAGACGCGCGCAACATCGGGGGGCGTATACAACGTCTTGGTGGTCTCGGTGTGGTCGCCAGACGATTTATCGTGGAAGCACACGAGTGAGGGCTTCTCGGCCGGTGACGACGCGGCTAGGGAAACGTAGGTAAAGCGCTGTGTCGAAGTCTTCGAAGAGCCTTTGCGATAGATCGAGTACGGGGCGGCCGCGAAGGTTGCGCTCGGCGGTAGCGCATAGGAAGTGACGAGTTGAGGATTTTGGAGCTGGGAAAGAGTTGAGCGCATATCCCATGTCGCAATAAAAAAAGTACCTACGCTGTATATGGACACACCCTCTCCATCGACGCCGACTGCGATCTCGGTGCGCTTCCTCTTCTTTATGCCGCTAATGCTGCATACTCCAGCAGCGTGAACATGGCCGTTGGTGGAGCCGATGGGCCTGGACAGCGAGGCCAATGTGAATGGAGCGCCAATCGGTTGGTCGAACGGCATGATGTTTGCCAGACCCGGGTGTCGGATAAGCTGAGGTCTGCGTGAACCGTAGGGTGAGGCGCGTGCTGTGGTTGCGCGGTCGAGTCTCTGTCGAAAAAAAGATTGGAGCTCCGGCAGAAAGGCAGGCGGTGCGAAATCTTGGCGGAGGCTAAAGTGTGGCTCTTAGTGGCGCCCTTAGCGCGTCGGCGCGTCACGTCGCGTGTCCCCGGAAGTGTCTTCGATCATCGTTGACGGCGACGGCGACCACACGCCTTCACCCTGCGACTCCGGCTATTGCAATCACCTGCCACACCCTGTCACTACTACATCTGCTTCTCACTCATGTCTGGACCACTCGCATAATCTCACAATCTGTAAATGGCCCTCACAGCAGTACAATCTGCAATGAATCTAGAGGGCAAGAACGTGCATCCATTCTTTACCAAAACTTCCAGTATGCCACCACACAACTCGCAAATCCCGCGCTTACCTAATCCCTAGACGGTCACGTACCAGACCCAGCGCCAATCGCAAACGCAAACGCAACCCCCATCGATCATGCACTCGACGATCCAGAAACCCTTGAGGCCGATGCCAATTCCACCCAAGGACAGAAGAAGAGGCCACGAAAGGCCGATCCCTCAAAGAGCAAAAAGGTAGCTTCTCACGCGAAGAACCAAGCCTCTCTAGACCAATTCACTCGCCCTCCGACGATACAAAACAACGATCGAGCCAACTCAGGCAACGCGAACATACCCGTAGAGGCTTCACTAGAGGTCGACCCAAACCACGAGCGGAGGAAGAGGCAGAAGACCGCGTCGCCAGAGCCTTCCATTCCACCGACTTCAGCGCAATCGGAACCCAATGCTTACAATTGGCACCAACAACTGCAGGTGGAAGCTGCGAGGCCCCTTGAGGTACAAGGGCTACAAGAACCAGCTCCTCATATAGGCGACATGGTGGTGGATGCGATACCGGAAGAAGCTGTTACGCCTAGCACACAGCCTCTGCCAGACTTGGATGCAGCCGCCTTTCCATCCGGTCCTGTCGCAGACGAACCTCAGCAAACAACCCCGAAGAAGCAGATAAGAGTTACCAAGAGCGGCAGACTAGTGTCCAGCCCACCGAAACCAGCTTTCGATACCGTAGCGTCACCGAAGAAAAGAAGAGGTCGCCCGCGCGCGAAGCCAAAGATACTTCCCACCGTGACAGTCATACGATACGGAACTGATGCAGCAAGCCGATCTGCTTTGGGCCAGAAAATTGAGGAGATTCTGAACGCAAAGAAGAAGCTGGCAGCGCGTCCAGCGGCCCAAAAGAAGGCGACATCGAAACCAGCTGGGCCGGCCAAGAGCACACATCCCTTCTTTCTCGGCAAAGCCCCGGATGACGCTCTCCCAGCGAAAGTCGTCGCACAACTGCCACCTCCAACCCCAAGGAAGAGCGCTGTGACTCCGGGAAAGCTGCGCGCCGAGACTCGACGAGATCCATCGCCTGAGGGCCCACCGGTTTTTAGGCGAGGATTGCAGACAAGTAATACGGGAAAACAATCTGGTCTCAACGAAGTCTGCTGGCCCACTCGTGAGAACGCGCATGTCCGCAACCTGGAATCCCCATCGCCGCGTCTAGACAATGCCACATGTATGCAATTGCCACTCAGACCTCGCAAGCTGAAGCAAGCTGTGGTGATACTACCGGAACACGAGAACGTGGTCGCGAGGCTGGCGCGAGGCCTTCAGGGTTGCAGTAGGAGCGAGACTCGATCAGTTTCCGAGTTTGAGCCTCCTGAAGATGTTCGTCTGCCCAAAAGGCTACTTACCACTGGGTCGGAGATCCAGCGCCTGGTACGTGGACAACTACTGGCCCAGTTACCTTCTTCAGAGCTCCCAGAGAAGCCGTCTCACCCCGCTGTCAAAGATCTGTTCCGAGAAATCGAGCATTGTCTCACGCCATTTGACGAGGCCAAATGCGAGTCCCAACCATGGACTCTAAAGTACTGCCCGAAGAGTACATCGCACGTTTTGCAAACTGGCATGGACGCAGTGGTTCTCAAAGACTGGCTACAGAGTCTGACCGTCATGGCTGTAAGCGGCGCAGCCAAAGTCGCTACAACGCTGGATGTCAAGCAGCCGCCGCGGAAGAAGCGGAAGAAAGCTCTAGACGATTTCATTGTAGCAGACGATGAAGAGGATGAGGAGGACATGGTCATGCTCCCAGCTGCGGAAGGGACCAGCTTCACACAGCCGAGATCTTACAGGCAACCGCAGTGGACGCGTAATAAGAACGTCGTACTTATCAGCGGTCCTCACGGCTGCGGAAAAAGCGCAACTGTGCATGCCGTCGCAAAGGAAATGGGATTCGAAGTATTCGAGATTCACGCCGGTATGCGCCGTTCAGGGAAGGACATACAAGACAAGGTCGGTGATATGACCGGGAACCACCTCGTAAATCACAAACGCAACGCACCGTCTGTGCAAGAGACCGCTCAAGCTGCCGACGACGCGAATGGTGCCGACAGAGACACTGCTCTAGAAGAGGACATCAGCAGTGGCCGACAAGGGACAATGACCTCCTTTTTCCAAGTCAAGCCCGGAGCCGGAACGGTCAAACCGAAAGTCAAGACGAAGATACCAGAAGTCGGAAAAGGCCCAGCACCCGTAGCCCAGGCTACACTGCCCATGGCACAAGCCTCGCGCAACTCGCAGAAGCAATCGCTGATCCTCATCGAAGAGGCTGATATACTCTTCGAGGAAGACCAGCAGTTCTGGGCGCAGATTACAAAAATTGCCTCTTTGTCCAAGCGTCCCATCGTCATCACTTGCAACGATGAGCGGCAGATACCCATGCAGGACTTGCCCCTTGCAGCTGTCCTTCGGCTAGCACCCCCTCCCGTGGACTTGGCTACAGATTACTTGCTTGTTCTTGCTGGCAGGGAAGGCCACATCTTGGAGCGGCAGACTGTGAAAGAAATGTATGAATCGAAGGACCACGACCTACGAGCTAGTATCATGGAACTTGACTTCTGGTGCCAGATGTCTGTAGGCGATAGGAAGGGAGGCCTCGAGTGGATGTACCAGCGTTGGCCACCTGGTAAAGACTTGGACGAACACGGTCAAACATTGAGAGTTGCCAGTGGAGGCACATACACATCTGGCATGGGTTGGCTATCACACAACGTCTTCGAAACGCAGGGCAATCCGGCATTTGATAAGGAAGAAGAGCTTTTGCAGGAAGTCTGGGCTGATTGGGGTATCAGCCCGTCGGCGTGGGGAGTCTCTGAAGCAATCGGTGCACAGTCATCCGGAACACCCAACAGGGACCGGGCTGACCAACTGAAAGAGCTCGCGCGTCTGGAGGATTACACCGACTCGCTCAGTGCCGCCGACGTGTTCTGTCGCGTCGACCTGCCCACATATGAGTCCAGCTCTGACCAGCCTACCGACTCCACCCAGCCACTAATTACCGACAAAGCACGCCTTAGCTATACGCTTGCCGCACCTCTACTCCAAGTCGATCATAGCTCAGACTTCTTGAACCTCGACACCGCCTTCTCCACACAAACACATCTTCTCATCCAGCGTACATACCCGGACCTCTCCCAAAGCCACAGCCTATCAGCAACCTCCTATCTACGCACAGAAACCGACTACGCAAAGGCTATACTCCAGCATCGCAGAAACCGAAACGCAGACACCACCCTCACACGTCTTGACTTTGCAGGAGCCCTCGACCCTCTCGCCGCGCCACCAGACCAACTCCTCCCCGAGCGCACTTCATTCACTCTCACACCATCCTCATTCGACCGCACATTCAGCATCATCACGCTCGACCTAGCACCTTACGTCCGCAGCATCGTAGCGCACGAGCAGATCCTCGAAGAACAACGCGTCCGCATGTCAAGCTTACTGACTAGTGCTGGTGGAATAGGAGGCAAAAGAGGTAGAACCACGCGCGCAAGCCGTGTAGCACTCGAAGGTGGTGTCAGGGAAACCAAGAGGAAGGATAGGTGGTTCGATGCCGATGTAGATTTCGACGCTGTCATGCGCACCGCGGGTAGGGAGTGGGCGGGCCTAGGCTGGAGAGGCGAGAATTGGACTGAGGAGAGTGGGGAGGAGGGCACGGCGAGTCTGGCGGGGACGCAGGAGGGAGTTGATGATGGGGATGGGGATGTTGTGATGCAGGGTTCTCAGGCGTGAGATCAAGATCTGGTTGATGTATAATGTATATAGATGCATGATGTATAGGAGCGTTTGGCATTGCATTTTTGGGAGCGAAGTACGGGATATTAGCATAGATGAGTACATAGAAAGCCCGACTAAGAATATGACTACCTCACAATACGTTTGAAGAAGACTAAAAGTACTGTGTTTGAAGAATTGATAGCATAGCAGTCAAGAATAGCAATGACCTCAGAAAACTAGCTATACGATACCCACACGGAAAAGATGAGTCAAAAACGCCAACCTGACCCTGTCGGGCAAACAGGTAACCTCAACGCCAAGTCCCATGTAAAACATTCAACACCCTCATTTTCATCCACGCGCCAGCACTATCCTCAACTCTCCACTATCCTCCCTGGTCTACAAAACACCACACCACGCACCCTCCAGCTTAATCCGTTTCGCGCCGCTGCCAAACTACGTAGCCGACACCAACGGCAAACTCTGCCTCCCACTATCCCCTCTACTCGACGCATTCCCCGCCGTGCGCATAAGATGCGGACTGACCTTTGGCAAAGTAGGCGTAGATTTCGGCGGCGTCGAAACATCGGTTTCAGACTCGTAATCCGAGGTGAGTTGGGTAGAAGGCGCGTCTTCGGATTCTGCGTCGCTGGCTTCGGTTTCGGGGTCGTGTTGGATGATCGGGTGGGTGGGCTCGGTGGGGGTGCTGATTGTGAGGGAGGGGGAGGCGGGTTCTGGGGCTGGAGGTGCTGGTGATGCTGGGTCGAGAGTGGGAGGTGGTTGTGTTGGGGTGGGGAGGGTGTCGAGGAGGTCGTCGTCGGAGTCTTCAGGCAGGGCGACCTTGACGGCTTCATCGTCCACAACCATTGATGCGTCGACGGGAAGATCAGCTGGTGGCAAAGGCGCCTCTTCTGCTGCGGACGTAGACTCTACTCTGGCGTCTGGCGATAAAGGAGTGCTTTCGTCGATGCGCTCATAGAAGAGCATGAAGACATTGCCTTGGTGCGCTTCTTCCTCGGATACGGGATATACGCTGTCATCGCTGAAGCGCCACCATTGTTCTTGCTGTGGTGCCGATGAGTCTTCTTGTGAGTCTTCCATCGCAACGTCTTCGCCCTCCCCTTCTTTGGTTGATGACCCTTCAGCATCTTCATCGCTCTTGGGCTTAGGCGCAGGTTTAGGGTGCGAGCGGTAGCAGACGTAGTGACCGTTACCATGCGAACCATAGTGCGTGACAGCGGCGCGCAGTCGGTATTGGAAGGGCGAGTCTGTCATGGGCTCATCCCTTGCTAGCATCGACTGTCTGGGATCCTTTGGCCACTCTTCTTCCGATGCAGCGGGCTTTTGTGAACCATGAGGAATGCCACCCAAGCACCAGTTCCCAAGATCCAACACTGAGGGATATGCGACGCCTGCGGTGTTCTTGAACGGCATACCGGTATACTCGTTAAAGCTGCTTCGGTTGACGTGAAGGACTAACGATTGGGGCGCTCGCGCAACGACTGCCTGTTTCGACTTTGTGCTCTGCACCCAGTTCTTCTTTGGCACGTTCAGAGTCTTCAGCAGAGTCTTGTCTTCGAAATCCTCCTTTTCGAGTGCTTCCTGTACAGCGTCTAGTCTTGCCTTCAGCGGCGATTCCGGCTTGCCAGCAACTAGGGGCGCGAGTGTTTTCTCCAGCTTAAGCAGCGTGCACTTTGCGCATTCGACGCCATCGATGAATTCTAGGGTGGTATACTCATCTAAACATTCACGGACGTCGTAATTGTAGTTCCTGCCAAGGGATACGGTGATGCAGTTGAACGGAATGAGCGTGAGGCCTTCAGAGTAGCCGCAAGATGTGCAGCCAACGCGCTGGGCGAGGCGTCCCTCGAGCGGGTTCGATGGAATCTGAGGTGATGTTTCCGTCGCGTCCGATCCTTTTTCTGTTCCGTCGTGCGCTTTCTCATCCAGGTCCTTAGAGTCACTGAGGCTCTTTGTGACTTCAAGCCACGAGACTGACGATCGCCTCTTACTGCTCGCAGTCTTCTTGACCTCCTCGTCGAGCGCATCCAATATCTTGCTATAATATTCCTGCGCATCCTGCTGCTCGAAAGTGCTCATCGACTTCAACTTGCCACGGATCCAGAAATGCTGACCCGTATTCGCAGGGTCGTTGAGCTTAGTGATGATATCGAATAGCGCGCCATTTGTGCTCTCCGAGGTAAGCGTGGGGTGTGCGGAGGTCGTCTTGGAAAGGTGGTCGCGTAGCGATGGAAGGGAGGCGAGGCCTTGGATAACGCTGTTCTGGTAACAAGAATTGCTGATATTGCCCAGGCCTGGTGGCACGTCGCTGGGGCCATGCGAGAAGGCGTTCGCGACACCTATCAAGCTGTCAGCACGAATAGTAAGATGTCTTAGAACCGCGTTAGCAAAGTATAGCAAGGGGGCTACATACTAGTAATAAGTTAGCAAAATATCTTGACAGCTATTCGTGGCGGCTACTTTACCCTCGTACCCCTTTCTGTAGTAGATTTCCCGGACTCATGCCAAAGAGGCTACCGAACATGCCGCCCTGTTGTATGGTGTCGTCGTCGCTGGTGTTGGAGGTTGTTGAGCTGAAGGAGGCGCTGCGCATACGCAGGACGTCGGTCGCCATCTCGAGAAAGCGCTGTGTAAAATCCCAGACGGGAAATCCGAGTACGTCCAAGGCTTTGAAGAGGACGTATAGGCCGATGATAGCGCCGAGCAGAGCGGACGTGATGGTGGTATGCGACTGGGTTGTGTTCCAGCGTTGTTGATAGGCCTCGAATTCGGGGTACTCTGCGTAGCTCATAGCTGGGTGCAAGGTAGGAATAAATTTGAAACGCTAGGCTGCTACAGGCAGGCTGTGGGAGCGGCGGTAGCGAAAGGCTTTTCCAGGTTGAACTAGGAGTATGGGTAGCGGTTGCAGGCGCAAATGGTGGGTCTTTCAACCTTCGGGCCAGCGCATGGATGTAGTCAGACAGAGCAAACGCGGCGGTGTGTTTGTCTGCGACATGGGCGAGAGACTGAGTGCGACAGTCGGGGCGAGACGGCGGTGGTGGCGGAACGGCGTGAATATCTAGGCCAAGGGCGAGGCACGCGATTCTGAAGGGTCATCGGGGAAGGTGCGGGAGCGCGCTAGCGGCTCAAGTGGATCCCCCGGGCACGAGCTAGTGGGGACTTTTGGAGATGATTTTGGCTCCAGTTGAGACTTCTTTCGACTGCATACGAGATTTCACTAGAGACTATACCACGTACCGCGATTCGAATACTGAATCGCGCGTCTTTGCTCAATCCCTTCACACCACCGGAACTCTGTAGCGACAGCCATAAGCCAACACAATGGCAAAGACAGCAAAGGTCAAGAAGCGCCGTATGTACCACGAATACACCATCCTCATGAACAACTCCTAACAACCACACAGCGGTGAGCATTCACTCCCGCACCGCCCGTCGCGCCGTCTCCCCCTCCCTCAACCTCGACAAAGCCGCCCAAAAACCCGCCCACACAACCCGCGACTCCGCCTCGCCATCGCGGCCCTCCAAAGTAAACCCCCACGCCCTCGCCGCAAAAGATGCCGGCATCCAGAAGAAGCGTAAGAAAGGCACAAACATGACCCGCGCACAACGGTTACGCTACGAAAAGGGCCTCGACCGTGCGGAGGAAAACATGGAGAAGCTCGAGAAGAAGCGGATGAAGAGTGTGGGCAAAGAACAGAAGATCAAGGATAGGGCCAAGCAATGGGAGGACGTCAATGGCGATGGCACGAAGAAGACGAAGAAGCAAGTTGCGCTTGAGCAGTTGGAGGCGGAGGAGAAGCGGAAGGAGAGGGAGTGGGTTAGTGATGAGGATATGGACGAGGAAGGTGCTGAGGTCAAAGATGGCGAGGTCAAGGGCGACGGCAAGGAGGTAGATGTGGAGATTGCGCAGAGCGCTCCGGCGCCTGTGGAAGAAGACGAGATGCTTTGAGTTGGAATAGGCAAGAAAGAAGGGTTCGAACACCATAGTCACGAAGCATATGATACCCAAAAGTTACGAATTGATACGTTGGACTTCTCTTCATCGTCATTTCAACGTCCACGCTCGTTATCGATCGAGATGATGTGCTGATATACAAGCCAGCTCCGTCGTCAATAACAAAGTAACCCAGGCTACCAGTGCCGCTCTGTCCCTCGAAGCAGACGCACAACTCATCAACCTCTCCTTCCCCACCCGTTCGCATAGTCATTATCTGCCTCCACCGCTGCCCTAAGCTGATCCTTGTACGAGTGGTAGAGCTGCCTGATGCGCCCGTTCTCCTCCATAGTATCCACAATCTTTCGTGCCTCTTTTTCCCTCTTGCGATCGCTTCGTCCATCTCGCTTGACTAACTTCTCCGCCGTGAGATATCCCTCGTCTTTGAGGTAGTCTTTGACCCACTGGTAGAGATTGTAGCGCCAGTGATACAATGTATGCGCAACTTGGGCATTAGCTTTGCAAGTCGAACCCAGTGGGAAGCGGTGGGACTCTGGTGGTATTCGGTCCCCTTGGTAGTTGAAGGTTGGCTTTTCGCCGTTGAGGTGGGTTTCAGAGTCGGCGGATAAGGCGGAGTCACTGTCGCTATCGCTGTCATCTGAGGCATTGGCAAGAGGTTCCAGTGTCTCCGGGTGGTAGGGCTGGCCTTGGAAGAGGACCTCGAAGCTAGCTGTGTGGTTGGTTCGGTTGCATGCTTCGCAATGTGGTGACATCACCGCCCTTTCGGCAGCGCTGAGTTCGTTCATCAATAGCAACGGTCTTGCGCGAATGGCTCTAGTAAAGTCTGCTGTCCAGGCTGAGGATGTGTACTTGGAACCTGCGAGACCCTTCACTTCATCGTCCAGTTTGCGGAAAGTCAGCACGTAGACGTTCTTCTCCGCATCGAACGCTGGATGAATCTTCTTCATGACCATCCACTCAACAGCGTGCTTGAACAAATCCCGTGTTTTCGCACGCGACAGACTGAACGCCAGACGCATTTCATCGAGATCGTCATTGACAGACGGTTCTCCGATCACATTATCCGGATCGTCGTCAATGAAATGCTCATCTTCTTGATCTTCTTGGAACATGTCAAGGGCGTTGGCATCGCGGTCTGACTCTTGTTCGTCGTCTTCAATGTCATCTTGTTCCAAGATCTCAAGATCACTGTCTGGTTCTTCCTTAATAACCTCGAGTTCAGACTCGGAGTCTGTTTCCACCACAAGCGCTCTTTTGCGCCCAGGTGTCGCAGAAGAGGGCGGTTCATTGGTACCGGCACGTCGCCTTTTCAATGCCTCTAGAGCTTCCTGGCGTCTGTTTTTGGGCTTGCCTTGCGTGCTTCTCAGTCTACCGCGATCCGGTAATGGTGAGGATCGCAGAAACGCAAGTTCCTCTTTCAGTTCGTCTTGCTCCTCGTCGTTCTCGTCATTGTTTGCGCTTCCCTCGCCCTCTTCCTCATCTTCATTGCCAGACGCAGAATCCCCACGATTTGTAAGTTGAGGCGTGGCTGACGGCTCTTCCTCATCTTCTGATAGCGACTTTCGTCTTTTCAGTCTGCGCCTCGTGCTTCGAGGTGGGCTCTGCTCTTCTTCTTCAGCGGATGGAGAACGCCTGCGGACGATCTTCCGCCTCGAGCTCGGTGCTGGGGTAAGGGGTTCGTCCTCATCCTCGTCTTCGTCTGGTGTCGGGGCCTTCTCCGCAGTCTTTCTTCGGCTGCTGCGAGGCGCAGGCCGCAACTCTTCCTCCTCTGGTGTACTCTCCTTCCTCTCTCGCCGTTTGCTGGCCTTCGAAGACTTAGTCTTCCTTTTCTCTTCCTTATTCTTGCTCTTCGGTTTCTCCGATGTATCAGATCCGATCTCGATAACACGGCGTTGTCGTTTGCGCGGGATGACTGTGACTGTCGGTTCCTCGTCTTCAGATTCGCTGGGTGTCGCTGCGCGTCTCCGCTTTCGCGACTTCGGTTGCTCCACTTGTACTTCGTCCTCCTCTTCTGACGTATTGGAGCTCGCAGAGCCATTGTTGGATCCATCGAACATACCACGCGCTGTGCCCCCGACTGGCATCCCTAACCGCATCGCCTTGTTTGTTCCCACTACCAACTCGGCCTCGCTCGAAGAATCATGCTTGTTGTTGTTGTTGCTCTTGTTGGAAACTCTGCTAGGCGCTCGTCTTGTCGGCGTCGTAGCCGTGAGGTTCGGCCGCGACGGCGAGGTTCCCATGGTTGTGGCGGCAGTCGATTTAGTCGCAGGTGAGGATTGGGAGGCAGGTGAAAAGTTGATTTTGGTCTGCCGTTTGCGATCGCGCGCCTTCTTGGGTGCCATCTTGGCGTGTCCAGTCTTGGAGTCTGCTTCACTATGGATGTCTCTCACTGAAGTGTCGGCCCAGATTCTATCTTGCGCAGCGCCGTCGCGTCGGACAATCGCGTTGCGAAAACGTCGCTGTAGATGTGCGAGTGTCGCAAACTCCCGAGGATGAATGCGCGACTATGATATTATTCAAAAGTTTGTAGAGAGTGCTCCAAGACGGCAACAATGCGTCTTCCTTTCGATGACGGTGGGGCGGCAGAAAGAGTGCGCATCTGCAAGGACCCGGCGATTCAGGCAGGCGCGCGAGCACGTGTGCTAGCGTCATGCGTCTACGCGAGCTCCAACTGCCCAGGTGGCAACTGCACATACCGAATGCATAATCCAGATCTTCAAACAACGTTTACACATATCAGTCCTTTTCACAGGTTGTCACTCTACGTTTTCTTTCCGTTGTAAAAGCTTGGTCTTCAGACTCTTTTGATACTACCAATGGATAACCTCGGGAGTCTGACTATATACCAAAGTACCATCTCAATGACCGGGCCAAACCAAGGCCATGCCCTGATTTGAGTTAAAGATGCACTTCACTCTATTCAAGGGAAGATATAGACACAGCGCCGCTAGCGGTGTCACGGTCGATTATATTCTAAGGCGATACATCCCATGGTACACATGTTCTTGAAGCTCTCCTACGTAAATCCTACTCGTCTCAAAACTCCATATTCTTTCAATGCTACATAGCGAATCTCTCTAGTTAGAAACTTGACTTGAAATATGCAGGGTCGACGCCCTCTCTGATCATATCTCGATCGAGATCCCGCCAGCGCTTCGCCCACATGTCATCAGATCGCTGTTTGACATCGATCGTTTCCCCAGTTTTCATCGATCTCTCTATATCAAGGTAAGCTTCATCGAAAGATCCATAATTCAAATCAATTGCAAGTCCGTGAATCAACCGTTCGTAATATGCGCTGTCATCCTTCTTCTTTGCGGGATCTCGCGTTCGTTGCAGTACCCCGGATCCATCATCTTCTACACGTCCGTGCCAACTACCCCTACGAGCTAAAGGCTGAGCCGAAGGGGCCGGTGAGATCTTGCTGTGTGGGTGCTGGTTTACTGGTTTCTTGTCAATAACCAAGTGCTTCTTGTCGTCGATCGGTCTCTTTTGCACTGCTTTGCCCAGCTCGGTCTTGTCGTGGAAGCTCAATCTACGAGCTCGTGCGCCAGCGGCTAGAGGAATAGCTATCGCACTCTGCTGCGTGTGATTTGAAACTAGGGGGCCCTCCATCTTGTCGTACTCTGCACCCCATTTTGATACCGTCTTCCTTTCTGGTACTTTGAACGTTTTGAGGTCACGGGCCTGATCGTATTCCTCTTGTTCGCTCCGTTTGTATACCTCCTTATGGTCCACATGCGGGGTGAGCATGAACATTTCATGATGCCTGTTTCTGCTCTCATCAAGTATATCTTTCCTCCTTTTGTTCTGAATCATATTAGATTTCAACTGTTTCTCCTTATTCTTGGAGTGAAACTTTTCCGCCTGCGTTTGTTTGTGTTCAAGACGCTCAGCTTTTATCTGCTCGTCCCAGCCGTTCCCCCAGTAGCTATTTTTTCTCTTCTCCACGGTACCCTTTCTTATAACTGCAGGTGGTAGGCCCTTTCCATCGTCTGGGGGTGGAACCCACTTCTTCTTGAATTTGGGTTCTGGCTCTCTGGCACGCAGAGCTTCCAAGGCTTTGACCTGTTGGCGATAGTTCTTCATTTCGATCTTGCTCTTTGGTGCCAACACTGGGTCATACAGGCCCTTTCCCTCATCTGGGGGCGGAAGGCGCTTCTTTTTGTTGAAATTAGGTTCTGGTTTCCCGGCCCGCAGCGCTTCCAAAGCTTTGAGATCTTGGCGGTATGTATTTATCTCGATCTTACTCTTTGGTGCTAATACTAGGTCTTTCATCGTGTTCTAAAGAGCTTGAAGATATCACTTCCTGTGTGGACGGACGGATGCTGTTTCAAGAAGTGGGGTTATCGATGGGATATCGGGCGTAATATAGCTAGGTGACGTTGAAATAGTCTTTTTGCAGTTGTGTGCGACTGCAGTAAACGTGGTTGGTTGATATTCTGATGTTCGCTCCAGGCGAATACTGATTGAAGTGATGAGTAAGTTGGAAGGTATATGTAGTTGTCGATAGTATGATGCGTGTTCTAAAGAGGCAACGCAAGGATGGCTATGTCGAGGGAGACTTATACCTAGCACATCAACTATGTTCACATGCTCCTATGTGAAAACATGTTCGTTACATTGAATGTGGCTTCACATACATGTCCGGTAATGGAGTGTGCATGACAAACAGTTCTAACCTGTACGTACGGACTCACGTTCCCGGGTTTCCATAAGACATCTCATAAGTCAATGCTACAAACCCGCTTGATATCCTCAAAGGCGACGATACCCTCGTTCGACGAGCTTCAGGGCACCAAGCTACCCGAATTTGATACCTCTGTGCACCTAGAAGGTTTTAGATCCCACACTTACATATGAGCATTTCTAATCCTTAGAAAAGCTACGCTGCGCCGATGTACAGAGAGCAAAGTGTAAGATACTGGAAGGGAATTGTAAAATAGAAGAGCGCGCGTGTTGGAAGGGCAGTTTGGACCGACATGTCACGCAGACATACAAATTAGTTGCATGCGGTGTTCGGAAGTCTACGCTCGACTTGAGACGCGAGTATCTTTGTGTCGAACTCCAGCGGACAAAGGTGGAGGTGATGGTTTTGGTGATACCTGTTCGCTGTATACATAGCCCCAAGTTATCGCAAGCGGTGAGAGCTGTCAACAGAGTTCGGCTGACAGCACGTTCCACAGGTTCGTCATGTTGCGCGACACTGACTGCAGGCGTCAGGATCGGAAGTCGGCAGCATGTAGTGTCCCTTGGCGAACAGCTGCAGAAGTGTTCACGGAAGGATCAAGCGCGTCAGACCAGGCTGAACTATGTTGGTGGTTCTAGATGCGCATGGCCAGAACGTGGGCGTGTTCAAGCTTTCCCGGATGTTCGCCCGCACGAAGCAGCTTGTCCCGATTGCCTCTTGAGGTTGGTGTTCTCAAGGTTGAACAGATCGAGACAGCTCGATTCGTGTGTCGAATGAACTGAATGCGCTCTCTTCAATTAAGCGAAGCGCATGCACGTGGTCGACTCGAAGTGTTTTTCGGACGATGCCCGGCTACAACGGCTGGTATACAGACCACTCGCGATGATGTGTTCGCTGGTGCATTACGAGGACGCAGAATCCGGTTTTGGGATGAAGTCGACGTTGAACTAAGAATATCGATGTTGTTGTGCGGACTGGGCTTCAGTCATGGTGCAGCTGTCACCGAGATCACGCCATCTGTGAGCCTCAGGCCTGGGCTGGGATAGACGCAGTAGCAGTAGTGAATCTTAGCCCCGAGCTGTCGTTTGAAGCGTGAGCAGGGAACGGCCAAACCATATTTTCTGCAGTTCATCGTCGCATGAACACATTGATCTGGTGGGTGCAGTAGCGGCCAGGTGGTTAGATTTTGCTGTCAGTGCTGGGGAAGGCATCCAGCTTCCCCAGTCGCGAAAAGAGGGTCCCCCATGTCTCCCCGATATGATCCGAGGCTGCGCGCGCCCTGCCACCCTGTGCAGACGAGATTGGTTCATGCGCGGACGAGACTCACTCACCCTGAGGAGGCTGCACAGTGTTCGCGATTGATACGGGCGAGAAAGCCCAGAGCGCGCGTGAAGCAGTTTGGAGTTGCACACGCGGCCCACTCTGCTGGCTTCAGTCTGCGACGTTTCGGGCTGCGGAGTGACTGGGGGCTCCGCGGCTGGTGGTAGTTTCTGACTTTCTGTTTGGAAGGGCCGAAAGACGCGCCAATCAGCGGCGGGCAGTGGCAGTCTGGAACGGCAGGTGCCACCGGGACCGCCTGCATTCCCTCAAGCTTCGCCCAGACACCTCCCACTTGGCCTTGACGCTTAACCCACGACGGCGACCCTCGACCTCAACACCACACACAGGCCATGACGCTCGTCTGAATCTCCATGGGCTTCTTCTACCGGACACGAACTGCTGCTGGACCAGTATAACCGCCGACCGAGCATGTGGGAGGCCGAGTCCTGGCGGCATGGAGCGCCTCTCCTGGACCGTCGCGCGCCCGATGCCACCCGACCCTACGTGAGTATCACGACCGCGACGCCCTCCACGCACGCGACTGACGACCGCTACCAGCACTGTCCCTCGTACAAGCTGCCTGCCCACGGTACCATCGAAATTTCGCCCGGCAACACCATCACGCTCGACCAGAATGCCGTCTTCCGCCCGCTCTGCACCAACACGGCCACCCAGCAGGGCAACATCGACGACGGCACGGGGGGCATCACCAGCGTCGCCGACATGCGCGACCCCTTCCACGCCTCCATCACGCCCCAGGCCTACGCGACAGGCGCCGCGACCGTCATCGCCTGGATGCTCGTCATCATGCTCATCATCACACCACGCACTTTCTTCGTCGGCAACGCTTCGGGACGCTCAGGGCTCATGGGACGACGCGGCATGATCAGCGGCGCAACCGGGAGCGGATCCATCATTGGAGTTGGAAGCCGTCCATGGCTGCAGAAGGCCGCGGCCCTGACCGTCGCCATTTCCCTGACGCTTGCCACCGCCGACACGTTCAAGATCGCCGAACGCCAGTACGAGGAGGGCTTCATCGACGCCATGGAGCTGCGCGACCAGGTCGTGGCTGGCATGGAAATCAAGGTTTCGCGCGTTGTTTCCGACATCTTCCTATGGCTCGCACAAGTACAGACCCTGATACGCCTATTCCCGCGCCACAAAGAGAAGGTCATTATCAAATGGGTCGGATTCGCTCTCATCCTGCTCGACATTGCATTCAGCTGTCTGAACAGCTTCGGTCCCTATGAGAACCAACGCCGCCCCGCACACTTCGACACCGCGATCCCCGCCCTTAGCTACCTGTTCCAACTATCACTCAGCATGCTCTACGCCGCCTGGGTTATGTACTACGCTATCACCAAGAGACGATACGCCTTCTACCACTCCATGATGTGGAACATGAGCGTCGTTGCCCTGCTATCTATCATCGCTATCCTCACGCCCGTCGTATTTTTCATTACCGATATCGCCAACTACACCATTGCCGGATGGGGAGACTACTTCCGCTGGGTAGGGGCTGCCGCTGCCAGTGTCATCGTTTGGGAGTGGGTGGAGCGCATTGAAGCGCTGGAAAGAGAAGAGAGAAAAGACGGAATCTTGGGGAGAGAAATATACGATGGAGATGATATGCTCGACAACACCCCGTCCGACTCCAAATGGCCTTCGAAACGCAAGGGCCAGCTATCAGAAAAAGATGAGAAGAAGAGTGGGGGAAGCTCAGGCGGCTTCGGCGTCGGCGCATTCACATCAGCACATGCCGGCCGCTTCAACGACCTTGCTCAGAGGTTTGGACGCAAGATGACCGAATCGCCAAGAGCAGAAGCACGAAAGAAGCGCACCATCCACATTCCTGCACCACCCCCGGTTGTGCGAAGGTCCGCATCTGCTGCACGTGGAGACCGCAACTCGCGGGCCTATGTACGAGTGCAGACCCCGCCTCCGGTACCAGTCATCGCATCACCGGTCAGCAGGACAGACACCACCAGTGCTGACTCGACTGTATACACAGTCCGCTATCATCCCATCAGCGATACACCTGTGAATCCCCGGCACGCACCGGCAGACGATCGACCAGGAAATCGTGAAGCACAACCACAAACACAAGATTCATCACAGGAACCTCAAGCTCAACCAGCTGATCCTGAGGATCCTGAAAAGGGAGGAGAACTGGAACCTGTCACCAGCCGGAGTAGATTCCAATGGCAAGCTTTAGGAAACCCATTCCGACGAAAAGGACGGACCCCGCCAAAGGAACTCCAGAGGGGGCAGGTCATCGAACCACTCGCAGTAGACGACGTCGCAGCCAACATACCCCCTCGCAACTACAACGGGCTAGCTCTAGCCGATCGGCTGGGCACCTTTGCTGCACAGCAAGGCGAGAAGCTCAGGTCGAAGAAGAAGCCTGGGTCACAGCACGAAACGACTCTGCCTGTCACGATCATTCCAGCTCAACCTCGGGGCCAAACCTGGTCTCCAGACATCATCCGCCAACAGCAACAAGCGCAACAGGACGAGTCCTCTGCCAGTGCGGGTACGCAGCAAGCGAGTGCGCCAACTCCGAGCGAACAAGATCAATCTCATGGAGGGACTAATTCAAGCGAGGTCGTCAACCTGTCGGCCTCGCCAAACTCCACACGCACTCCCCGTATCCGGTTCTCGCCGGCAGCCCCGCTTGGTCGCCAACACAACACTGGTGGTCTTGGGACAGAGATGCGACAACCGCCGTCTGCACCGACTTCACCGTTGCCACAAGACGAGTCGACATCAACCATCGACTTTAGCAGGCCCGAAAACCACACTCGGACAGATCACGACAGGTAGCTTGTCGACGCACCATCTTCTCTCGCATGTTTCTGTTTATATTTCGAACGTTGATAGCACGTATATACCCCCACATTGAACGGCGCATTGATGGCATGGATTGAGGACAGTGGAAACTCCACACTGCATCGGCATGGAATGGCGCAATTGGAACTTAAAAAATCTTTGGTGTTTGTATGAGGGATGGATACCCGCCGGCCACACGGTCAGGCTCTTTGATTTAGGTGGAATGGCGCAAGCCTGCAACGACAGGGGGAGCAGTGGATACTGCGATCTATTAAGCGCTATAGCATGTACAGCAAAATATCAATAAATCAGTAAATCTTACGTTTGCACTTGTCAGTAACTCCTACGTTTACAGTTGTCAAAAGTCAATCAAGTGTGCCAAGGCATTGATAAGGCTGTGACGATCTGGTAGGGCATGGGACGGGCGTTAGTGGAGCCCGGTTCCTTGCACCGCCGCATCATAGCTCCATGTTATCATCGCGTGTAGCACCTCCAGTCTAAGCTGTGGCCCTGCATTCTGTCCATCGACGACGTGCAGCTTAGAAATAATTAGTCGGCTGCGCATCTTCTCCAGGCGACAATGTCTTTATTCGGTGACGATGACCCGCCGCAGCACGCGAAGCAGTCGTCGTCGCTCTTCGATGACGATCCCAAGCCCGCGGGCAAGACGGGCAACAGCTTGTTCGCAGACGACCTCGACGCCAACGACTCGCCCTGGGGCTTCCCCACGCCCAAGAAAGCCGGACGCGAAGCTCTCGTCAAGTCGCTGCTGCCTGCCTCGGACGTGCCCGACTCGTACATTGACGCTTTCGACGCACTGTTAGATGCTGGCGACCGCGAAGGCAATGGGGTCAGCGTCGAGGGTGTCAAGAAGCTGCTGGCCGAGAGCGACATCCCCGGCCACGCGCAGTCCAAGATCCTCGAGATTGTGCTACCGTCTGGTGGCAGCGCCGAACTGGGCAGGAACGAGTTCAATGTTGTCTTCGCCCTGATTGGGTTGGCGCAAGAGCATGAGGACATCACCCTAGACAGCGTCGACGAGAGGAAAAGGAGTGAGTGTTAGCATTGTCGCGCGTGCCGCGAAAGAACGACATTGACGCCCCGCCAGATCTTCCCGTCCCAACGGTGACGCTGCCGCAGTCCACCAAGGCCCGCGAACCATCACCTCCTCCCCAACAAGCCCAGCCTCCGACCCCTCCCGCGCCGCAACGCCAGCCGTCTGCGCAGCAACCGTCTCCTGCAAGCAAGTCGAGCGCGCCTATGCGCAAGCAATCCTTCGGTGACCCAGAGGCGGATCCTTGGGGCAGCCCCGACCTGCACAGAGGCCACAGCCACGCGAGCTACACAAGCTCGCAACCGCACACCAACGGCTCGAGCTTACCCCCAACCGCACGAACGACGAGTCAATTTACAACACAATCGACCGCCGCTTCCTCCAACATCCCGCAGCCCGTCCAGCCAAGTTCCTTGAGCAGTGAAGGTGGCTGGGGCGGATACAATGGCGGAGCGAGCCAGCCATTCGCTGCCCCTGGCTTGGGTGAAGAAGACTTTGGCGCACCCGCAGGAGGAGAGGGTGGCTCCAATGCGACACCAGAGTTGGGCAGATCCATTGGGCGACTGAATCCAGGCGGCAGTGGAAACGAAGAGGTCATTACCATTACTGCGCTCTCAGAGAAAGAGGGCATGTTCATGTTCCAGCACCGCAACTACGAAGTTGCCAGCTCGAAACGCACCACAAAGGTCGTGCGCCGATACAGTGATTTCGTCTGGCTGCTGGACTGTCTGCACAAGCGGTATCCCTTCAGACAATTGCCATTGTTGCCCCCGAAGAGGGTCGGTAGTAAGTACTCATCCTGCTGTGGCCTTGATACGTATTGAGATTTCTTAGTCAACGGCAACCCAATAGCTGCGGATGCCACTTTCCTCGAGAAGCGAAGAAAGGGTCTTGCGCGCTTCACCAACGCGCTCGTACGGCATCCAGTTCTGAACCAGGAGCAGCTGGTAGTCATGTTCCTGACAGTACCTACGGTGGGTTTAATATGTTTGGAGACTGCCTAGCATGTACTAATGGGAACAGGAACTCGCAGTATGGCGCAAACAAGCCAACCTATCCGTTCAGGAAGAATTTACCGGCAAACCCCTACCACCGGATCTCGAAGACTCCCTCCCGAAGACCCTCCCTGAGCTCTTTGATACCGTCCGATCTGGCGTCCGACGCAGCGCAGAAACCTACATCACCCTCTGCAGCATGATGGAGCGCCTCTCCCGCCGAAACGAAGGAATGGCAGCGGAATACGCACGTTTCTCCTCTGCTCTCAGCGGACTCACAGAGTCAAGTCAAGAAACATACGCCGTCGACACAAACGACGTGCCATTGTTGAACGAGGGCATGAATGCTACAGCGCGACACCTCGACTCCAGCAGACAATTGCTAGAAGACGAATCAAGAGGATGGGAAGAAGGTGTTCTCGAAGACCTGAAGAGACAGAGAGACACTCTAGTCAGCGTACGCGACATGTTCGACCGCCGAGACAAGTACGCCCGCGACAACATCCCCCAACTGGAAAAGCGCATCGCAAACAACGAAACCAAACTCCACAACATCCGCCAGAAACCCGCCGAGCAGATTAAGCCCGGTGAGGCGGAGAAGGTGGAGGATGCCATTTTCAAGGTTAGTTTTCAATCCCCGTTATTCAATGAGATCATCTTCTAACGCGTGATGCTAGGACAAGGAATCCATCGTCCAACAACACGCCCGCGGCGTCTTCATCCAGGAATGCATCCGCGACGAACTGCTCTTCTTCCAAAAGTCGCAATACCACGTTAGTAGACTGCACCAGGAGTGGGCACAAGAGCGTGTCAAGTATGCGGAGCTGCAGGCGGATAACTGGCGGGCGTTGAGTGAAGAGGTGGAGAGTATGCCCCAGGCGGAGTAAGCAACACGTGTGTTTGTGGAATTAAGAGAAGGGATGATAATGTCTCCTTGCCCGTTCGTTCATGGCATTCAAGGGCGATGAATGAAATGGCATGGCGGTGATGGATGGGTGGATGACGGATGCTCGTGCTCTCGTCTTTTCGAACAGTTGGTCGTCGGGTTCGTCATGAGCCAAGGTTGTAATTTGTACATGTCTCTTACGTCTTGTTTTGTTGCTTTCGTTTGCGCGCATTTGATATCAAGAGGTCGACGTATATACCTGTGTATGAATGAGATTGGATGCTTCTGCCTTGTCCTCGATGTATATCTGCTGTTTGCTTGTCCTGTCGATACTGTATCATCCCCCGCTTGACGAGTTCTGTGAGATGACGAGGAAGATGAGCGCTCGCCCTACACATGACTGTAGTATAGTAGGACTAAGAAGACCAGGCTGTCGATGATGAGATATCGTGTAACGTGCACCAGGTCTCAGTTGTCGATGATAGCCTGCATCATGTGTCCTGACCTCGAAAGACGCCGCTCTGTGACATCAGTGCACCAATAATCCATGTCTTCACACAGGTGAGAGCCGTATTGTGAATTCAGGATTGATTTCTCATTGCATGCAAGGTCGGGTATCCCCCATTGCCCGTAAACACAGTATGAGGAAATACGCCATGCAGAACCATTCCCCACCCGACTACAAAGCCCACTCTCTCAGCTTGCTTTTCCTTTTATCTCAGACCCATATCCGTCCTCTTGCTTGATCGTGTGGGGCGGTCGGGTCGAGGTAACATTGTTGTATCGTATCGTCAGGTAATCATCGTCGTCACATGCGCCTTCTACTCCAGCCCTCGAAGCGTACGGTAGAGAAAAAATCTATCGGTGCTGTTGCAATGTGAGTTTGCGTACATTGTAGAAGTAAGGTACAGAAGACGTACCTTGACGAAGCCAATGTCGGAGCTCTTCTCGCGGAAGCACTGACGGCAGATGTTGAGGCCGTACTTGCGGATCAGACCAGCGGGGTGGGTGCAGACGCGGCTGTGAGTACTGTGTTAGCCATCGCGTACTGGTATCCTGGCCCGTTGCATCAGGTGCATCCAATCCCTCCCCTCGCGCAGACCAACACGGTGCGCTCGCCCTGGCCCCAGCCGCATATATAATCGGCGCCTCTTCCCCCTCCTCCATCTAGGGTATCGACATTTTGGATTCAAACGTACCACTCGCGGGAGCCCTTGCCGTAAGTCCTAGGGCGCGAATACCAGACCGACTCGTGAGACATGATGTGTGGTTGGAGGGTTTTGGACGGGGGATTGTCGCTTGCTATTTCCAAGTCAGTTGAAATTGTACATTTACGAAAGCCTCTGCGACGGCTTCAAAAAGGGCTACTGACAGTATTGACTTGTTGTCGGCGGTGTTGAATCGGGCGTGCGTAGGCTTGTCGGGGTCACGATGCTCGACCGTCGAAATCGAATATTGTGTGGGGTGGTCTGTGCTGCCCGCTAGCCTTGCCGGTGCCACCGCCGCGGGGGCAGCCCTCAGAACTGATCGCGACGTTTCGCTGTGCCAAGAGATCGCCATAATCCACGGCTTTGCTCCCAAAGATACCGCATGCGGTAGTTTCACTAGTAAAAAGTGGGTTTTGGGAGCTGATTAGATCTGTGACCGCTAGATGCTGTATCGCCGGAGAGCGGCTGCTTGCTTCTGCACGTGCGCTCTTGTGCTCTTTGGGACAGGGCTCGGAGTCAAGAGCGTACGATAGGGACTGAAGCGCCTTCACTTGTGTAATGTACTATACACCCCTAGGATAAGTTCGGTAATGATTTACACACGAAGAATCTAGAAGATACAATGACATTTGCACAGTGGTGTCTTTCTGTACATCCCACGTCACAATCAGACTGCAATCCACTGCTACCGGAACATTCATACACAAGCATATCGTACAGGTTAGGATTTCGACCTCCAAGCGCCGATCAAATGTCTACTCCCGACGGTGACCCAAGTTGACCACCAGCGTGCCACTCCTGCTCCTATTCACTGGTCAGTTTCGGTACGCCATTCGCTACTGTCGGCTGAGCCACTTACTCTACTTTGTGAAATCTTATCTTTCCGCCATTATCCAAGGTAGTTGGGCTGTATGAGTCGGCCTTGAGGGGTGCCCTATATATAGGAGGAGAAGGCTCCACCCGTTTTTCCTCATCCAGTGACGACGACACTGTTTTGTGATATCTGATCTTCGCCCCGCTTTCAAGGCTCTTCGTCTTGTATTTGCTGGGGAGGGGTGCGCCTTCCTCTAACAAAGTGATCGCTGGGTTGTGGATACGGGGTGGATTTGATCCCTTATCTGTAGCCGGCGTGCGCCCTTTTGTGAGACGCTGCTCTTCGGCGGTGAGAAGCTCCATCTCTCGGTCAAGAGCCTCGATCTCTTCTTGCATGGCCCTCCGCTTTTCGCGGTTTGCTTGCTGTCTTTTCCACTCGTCGCTTTCTTCGCCTTTTCTGACATTGAAATCGAGAGGTTGATCAAAGGGGTCGATGGGTCCGCCGAGCAGCCGGTTGGCTCTGTGCTTCTCCTCCTCTAGCATCGCTGCAAACTTCTTCCTGGTCTCCTCAAAATGTGGTCTGTTCCAGTAGTCCTTTCCATAATTTGCCCGCAAATCGCGATGAAGGTCACCCACAAGGTACAGACTGCCTGTCAGGACGATCGGTCCTTCGGGTTCTCGAAGGTATTTTGCTGTACAAAGCGCTCGGAGCGGCCCGCCTTCTTCCACAGCTAGCCCTGTGATGGTGGGCTCGATCGATTTTGCTATGGCGAGGAGTCGTTTTGGATGCATTGGTTTCACCCAAGGCATACCATCCACCGGACCAAAGGATGTCGTGACGACATTGTCTCCTCGGTGTAGTATGTTTCGCAGGAATTTATGTGCATCTTTCCCATCGGTCATTGCAAGTACCCATGTGATAGGCCATCCCCTGCGTGGCCTTTGAACACCAGGAACCTTCTTCCTTACCCGCAAATTCCGTCCGACGTGGCCACTCAGCAGTGTGGCAGCGTCGGCGTTATGAGCTCCATCTACCAGGATGAACTCTCCTTTTTGACTAACTCCAGTCGCGCCATCCGGGCTTGGCACACCAAAGATAGGCGGTACTCGAACCGGCTCTAGTCGTCCTGGGTATGGAATGTTCCTTGCGCCGTGCAAGGTTTGTTGCATCACAAACGGTTTCATCTCTTTGCCGAGACTCTCCATTGCTGCCATCGTGGCCCTCGCTGCGAGGACAATATTTTCTCTTTGATCGGTCGGTTTTGGTGGCCGGTCTTCGTTCGCAAACAGCATCTTCGAAAAGCCCGGGGGGTCATATTCCAAACAAGGTCCTGCCCCAATGCTGCGAGCATGTTCCTCAATGACCTCTTTGACGTTTCCCTCATTTTTAGGATTGACAAGGTAGGGCACATCCGGCCTGAGGATGCCAGCTTTGTGGAGTGCGATCTCTTCTAGGGTATCACCTAAAAAGCCTTCGTGGTCTCGCGCTATCTTTGCAATGACTGAAACCGCTTGGTTGTTCAATATATTGGTAGCGTCGAGCTTTCCGCCCATGCCCACTTCAACGATGCCAATGTCTATTTTGGCTTCGTTGAAGATGTGGAAAGCAGTGGCGGTCAATATTTCGAAATTTGAAGCACTGATGCCATCTCTTATACTCAGGTCCAGGTAGTGCTTCTCGATCTTGCGAAAGAGGGCCTCTTCCACGGGCTTATGGTTGATGCTTATACAGTCCCATCTGGAAAAGTTAGATGAGAACTAGCTCACGTGACAGCGTGCGTACCTGTCTATGAGATGTGGAGATGTGAATTTGCCAATTGTGAGTCGCTTGGAAAGGAGCCTCGAGGCATAGTGGCAAATGGATCCTTTGCCGTTGGTGCCAGCGACATGTATCGATTTCCACGGAAAGTGGACATTCTTCAGAAGCAGACTGATCCGTTCCAAGCCAGGCTGGATCATGACCACGAGACGAGTAGCTTACAGTAGCATAGGCAACTATGGGTCCAGGCAGACGCGGAATGTTCTGAAACGATGTACCTGCAGGTTAAGTTGACTCATTGGGGCGAGTGGACCAAAAGCTGCGGACAGGTGCGACCTTGCTGCATTGGGTAACTAAGGCTTGGCGGTCACGGTCGCGCCTGGCGAAGACGAAGGGTCGTTTGCTGTGGGAACATCGAACTGCGATACACAGTAAAGTGAGGCTAAGACAAGCTAGCCAGAGGTGATAATCTAGACTAAAGATGTTTGCTATATGAACGTTGGGAGACAAGTGTCAGCGCTGTCATCCCACTTGAAGTTCTGCGCCTCCCCCGGACCCTTCAGCCTCACTGTCCTGGTTTAGGCGGCTGCGACGTGCGCCGCTCTGCCGCCCTAGTTCCTTCTCCGACCCATCACATTAGCATCATCCGGCGCGTCACCATCAACACCGCACCTCACCCATCTTTTTTGGAACGAAGCAGATCACACATTTGGCGCAATGGGTATCCCGATCGGATGGAACATAAATCGCGAAGAAGACGCGAAGAAAGATGCACTGAGGGCTGACATTGCCGGCTCACGCTCACCCATCCGCCGCCGCGTCAGGCCCAACAGGTCACCGCGCCCTCACAGCGCCCTCGACACGGATTTCCTCATCTCCGGTCCGCATATTGAATGGATTCCTCGCTCGTCGCATCGCGCGCGTCTGGCACCGCCACCCGTCCCCGAAGTGTCGAGGACCGAATACCGCAGCAACGAGCCTTCGAGACACCCACCTACTCTACAACGCGACGAGAGCAGCGTGCGCCGATCGCGCAATCGCCTCGATGGCTACATGCGCGCGTATGAGACGCGCGCGACTCCCGACCATGACCGCCCCTTGCCCGCTTTCACCCCGGGATTTGCGCCAGCGGCAGCGTCGCGAACGCCCGAAACGGAAGCACAACGCGATGCGCAAGACCCATTTTCACGCCTGCGCGAATACAGATCATACCGTCGCACT